GCTACTGCTACTACTACTACTAATACTGCTACAACAACTACAACTACCACCACCACTACCACTACCACTACCACTACCACTACCACTACCACTACCACTACCACTACCACTACCACTACCACTAGCACTAGCACTACCACTACCACTACCACTACCACTACCACTTCTACGACTACTACGCCACTTCAACCAAAGCGAAACCTCTAAAGACCCTTAAAACCCTAAGCCGAACCCCCCTGAAACCCCTCCATCCTCCTGGCTAGTGTCACAAACACGGTTTAGGTTTTTTTTGTCACCTCTTTACCACCTGCCTGGTTAGTTAGGTCGAATGCCAATTTAGGGTTCAGGGTTTAGGGTTTCGGGGCCTGCATGAGCTGCTGAACAACGTCCGGCACGGGCTTTGCCCCGCGGCCTTGCCCCTGGCCAATGGATCAGTCTTCTGAGGCTTGAGGATTTGGGGCTTCTGGTAGAGGCTTTGGAGATGAGAAGTGACACTACGAAAACGAGCACTGTAGAACCCTGAGACGTAAGCCTTTCTGTCACTCTTGTGGTAGTCTTCTCAATATACAAAGCATGCTTAGTTGTTCGTGCTGCAGTGATCGTTGTCGTCGCCGCCTTGCGGGCCGTCACGGCAAGACAAAGGTGCGGTCGTCGTCGATGACGACAGCGACGACGGCGGCGACGACGACTACTACTGCTCACTACTCCTGTTGATGTGCTGTCACTGCCACAGAATGAGAGGGTTTCGATTATGGCGGTATGGTCTTTCTTTGCGTTGGTCGTCATCATCATGATTAACCGTAAGCTTCACGCTTTTGCTAGGGTCTCTGGAAATACTGGGCTTTATGGAGTAGGGTTCGAGCTAGCTTTTGTCAGAGCCCGACAACTTCCCCCCCGACCCCCACGCGCCTCAAACTCAAACTCTAAACCCGAATCACAAGCCTTTTTTACCCGAAACCCAAAGCCTCAAATCAGTTATACAGTAAGACCCAAGATAACCAATTCAATTTTAAATATGAGTAAAGCCCTGTTGTAAAAGGGAAATCCTACCAAAGTAGGTTTTGCAAGTCCTTTAGATTAGGCTCCTTCTTCCCTCGTCGCAGCCTCATCCAGCGGGCGCACACGCCGGAAAGCACGCCAGAGCAGCTCCAGAAGCGGCTCCTGGGCGACTTCTTCTTGAAAGGGTTTAGGGTTTAGGTTTTAGGGTTTAGGGTTTAGGGTTACAAGACTGCTTTGGCAAAAATTGGTATACGAAAGGTTCATACGGTTTCATGGAGTTTCTACATGGAATGTGTTGCCACAGGTCTTCTAAGAAAGATTTGGAGGGCTTCATACTGATTCCTGGCTTTGTAGAGGCCTTGTACGGTTTCATCGAACTTGAAGGAACCCTTAAAGTAACCCCTGGAGAAAGCCTTGAAGGAACCCTGATCGACCCCAATTAAAGGAATCTTTCAAAAAACAAGGATCCAACACAGGCACTCCGAAAGGAAGCCTTACAGATCCCTTAGTGGAAGCTAAAGGAACCCCCAAATTGAACCCTCAAGACCCCCTTACAGGCACCCTTAAAGGAAGCACAAAACCCCTGTCCGAAACCCTTATAGACGAACCCTTTTGGGCACTTCTAGAAGGCTTTATAGACCCCTTCAACCCTAAACCCTCAACCCTAACACCCTCAACCCTAACACCCTAAACCCTTCAACCCTCAACCCTCAACCCTCAACCCTAACACCCGACACCCTACAACCCTAAACCCTCAAGCCTAACACCCTAAACCCTTCAACCCTCAACCCTAAACCCCTCAACCCTAAACCCCTAAACCCCCAACCCTAACACCCGACACCCTACTACCCTAAACCCTCAAGCCTAGCACCCTAAACCCTTCAACCCTAAACCCCTCAACCCTAAACCCCTAAACCCTCAATCCTAACACCCTCAACCCCTAAACCCCAAACCCTCAACCCTAACACCCGACACCCTCCACCCTAACGCCCTACACCCTTCAACCCTAAGCCCCAAACCCTAAACCCTAAACCCTTCAACCCGAAACCCTAAGCCCCAAACCCTAAACCCTAAACCCTTCAACCCGAAACCCTAAGCCCCAAACCCCTAACGCCCTGCCCCCTACGGCTTTCGCCCACGGCTCCTGGAGCTTCGGATCATCCGGTCCGAACAGGAGAACCTGGCCGCCGCCCCGGGGTTTATCAGCGGGTTGGGTTTGGGGTTTGGGGTTTG